TCATAACTTCCCAATCCTTCTCAAAAAGTAACTTAACGAGAAATTGATGCAAATTTCAATTGACGAATGTTATACTTTCATTTAATGCAATCTGTAATTCTCCAAAGTAACTTGTTCGGTGTAAACATTTAAGTAAGGTTTTGAGTTGTGCCAGTGCGATTGTGTGAGTAGGTTTAATCCCGACACTTCTATCTACCTTGTAAGGCAGAAACCGAAGAAATTTAATGAGTGAAATCCGCGTTAAATCCCCTCGTGTCTGGAGAAACTACCTCATTTGATTTCAGTTTCGCGGTTGAAGAAAGACGAGATTTACGCGCGCCGTTAGAGTAAATAAATTATCACAACTTAGAATTTCGCATTTGAAATTACTTACGGTGACGTTCCTTGCCATTTAAAAGTGAACAGAGTTAAGTCTGCGTAGATTATTCTAAAGCAAAATATTGACGATTGTTACCAGCTTCTATACAAAAATAGATCAACAAGATGATTCGGCCGGCCAAACGTTACCGTTGTCCATGGGCAGGATAGGAAAATCTTGCCTGCTCCATGAACCAATCGGATTTCAAGATTCGTCAAAGCGCCCTAGTGGAAAAAACGATACCTTTTGATCACATGACCCTTAAGACCCCCCTTCCCCCTCCAAGGCAATTCTAAAGATAACCATAGCGAAAACTGACCTGATCTCGAGTCAGCCCAACTTTTTCTCGGGTATATTTCCTATACAGAGGAGTCTATCTAAGGCCCTGACCACACTAATACGTTTTAAAAAGTCTCCATTTTCATTTTCAAAACGAAGCAAAATATTTCTACTCAAACAAGCGCTTTCGCAGCGTCTTCACTTGTCCTCACCAAAACGGCCGTAAAGGATAAAACCACTGGGACTTGGAATTCCGCATGCATAAGAGCAATCACATCAGTTAATTTTTTCGTCACCATTTTCGTCACCATTTTCAAACGATGCATATTCAAATTTTCCGTTTTCATCAACGTTTTCGAGCGTTTTAGTGCGGTTGACCAGCGAAAACACATCAAAATGTATGCTTCCTGATCGAAAACGAAGAAGTGTAGCAGGGGCCTCACTTAACCCATAAAAATATAACGTTACGAGAGTGAATTTCCTCAAATCGCCTTGTGCTTCGCAGACTTAGCGCTCTCTTATCTTTATCTTAGAGCGTCTTCGACGAGAAATGTTCTCCCGCCACAAACTACCGACTGAAATGGATGGAACGCGAAAGCTTTGATGAACAATGAATATATTTTAGTGACCAGGCGGTCACACTGAGAAAATAATGGTCCTCGGAGAATGGTGATATAGCAACGTGATTGGTTGATTTCTGTTATAGACAAATGGACTGTCTTATTGTGTGATAATAAAGATAGTACTAATTCACGAAGCAACGCGCCAATTTAAAGCTTACTGAAGCGTCATATGAAGGTATGATCTTTGTACATCGTCAGAAAAAACACTCTCCTCCCATAAATCATGCCTTTCACTTTTTATTTAGTAGCCTCACATGTCACACTGAAGTTGATCGGCCTTGAATTAATGTCTTGACTCTGATTTACGTCGGTTATGGACTTGGAGGCTGGTAACAGCCTGCTGTACAGGCATAATAGTTGTTTCTGCACTCCCAGAGACACTTGAAGCTGTTATTTCCATTGTTAACACAATCCCCTACACATTTGATATGCTCTTTGTTGCAGTCGTCGTAACACGCCTGGTTTTTAGAGGCAAAGCTGGCAGCGAAAAGTAAGCCACAGAGGAGAGCAATCAGGACAGACTTCATCTGTGAAGTACGAAAAAGAAAAATGATATTTCGGAAATGATATTTTTGACGAATGATTTTTCTTTACATCTCATTCCTCAACTTTAAGTTGAATATCGAGCATTTCTTAAAATGAATATATTCCACCACCATTCTGTCCGTCCGTCGGTACGTGTGTTCTGCCCTATTCGTTCGTGTGTTCGTGCATCTATCAGTTCACGGAGCTCGTTCAATCCTTCGGTCCATCATTTCACTGGCCCTTCGTTCCCTGGAAGTCTTCCTCTCATCAACTCCTTCCCTTGTTCAGTTGATCGTTCGATCGCTCCTTCGTTCACGGTTTTGTTCATTCGTGTGCTTGATTGATCGCTTTCAGAAACTTACCTTTCACTTGTTATGCAACTTGACTCGGTGATCTGAAAAAGAAACGAGACAGAGAAGCTTACTAAGCATGAATCTGACCGACCAATAGAAACCAACACAGAAAAATGATGCGATGTAGAATCGCTGGATGGGCAGGAAAGCATCCCTTTAAACAAATATTTCCTTTGGCTTTTTCATTATTAATAGAGTCGTGATCGTATTTTGTAACCTAACCCTTAAACTCCCATGAGTGACCAAGACAGAATTTCTCCTAACAGTATCGATACAATATCAAGTAGACAAGTGATGAGAATAAAGAAAATATTAATTATAGGGGATTATAAGTTGATCCAATACAAAATTCTCCAAACTAACATCATAAGAACCATATGGCAGACAATAAAGAGAATTACTAATGAAATCTCGGGAGTTAAACGGTTAACCGATGTCAGGCACATTCCGCCGTTTAAATTGTTATATAGAGGGCTCCGGTGTTATCTACCACAGTCAAGATTTTGAATCAAAAGTAAAGCCAGTGATTGAAACAAACTCATGCCCAAAAGCTCATAAGTCTACCGCTAAGAAACGGTTAAGGATTAGTTCTCAATTATTGGTTAAGTAAATCGATTTGAATCAGTGAAACGTCTACCACAGATAAATTTCAGGCCCTCATATTACACCCTTTGACTTACTTGGTGCTCTGTGAATCTGTTTAAATAGAAAAATAAATTCAACGTAATTTATTGCCTTACCTGGTAACTGGGTTAATGTTTAGTTTGAGTTGTGTATCTGAAGAACAAATATATACCATACACTTTGTTCAGAGATCGGTCAACATTTTTTTATCCAGGATTTCACATAGTAAACGCAGCTGTCCACTGATTGTGCAACGAAGCTCTATTACCCCAATGAGTTTTTCCAGTTATAAAGTCCGTCCGAAATGAGGGTGCGGTCTGTTTACTTCAGAAATGACGGTGGTTTGTAGTTAAACAACTGTGTAAATTTAAGTAAATTTTAGGACCTTTTACAATGATATAGGCTTGTCTGCTATATCTTGATCCAATCATTTGCTACTCTGCAAACAGCAAAACCTATTCTAATGTTTGTGCAGACAACGTGTAATGTTATTTCCAGCAGTGTTTCCAAGCAAATGTTAAACAATCGCAGCATTGTGTGTAATTTGCTTTTAGATCATGATGTTCACGCTGAAACACGAGCGTCCTTTTCCATAGAAATTATTGAAAGCAGGTCCATATTCAGCTGCCTTCGAAGGTGATTGCCGCATGCCAAACGTTTTAGAAGTCAAAGTTTACAACATCACCTTTAATGAAAAGATATCTTGATTCAAAACAAACATAAGTCCGACGAAGGTGCGAAACTAATGCTTTGAATTGCCTACATGGAAGCGATTCAATGATCTCAAAGCTGTTCCCAATTTTTCTGATTTTCATTTAGGCCAAGCTGCGATTTTTTTAAACTTTCATCTCATGAGAAGGTAGATCATTCGGTTCAAAAATGGTAATTCGGTTTTGTAGTTTTGCATGTTTCCAGACATCAATTGGAAAGAACCATACAAGGAAGAGAGTAAAGATAAAGATGGAGACACACCAAGAAATAACTACAGAGTGAAAAGGTATTTTAAACTTTGAAGGCAATTGAGCTGATTTGTATCCTGAATTTTTAAAAAAATTTTCAACAGATCATAAGATACGAAATGAAATAATAAAAATAGAGGTTACTGGTTAAATTTTGAGTAAAAAAATTTAATATTCATATGAGCCATCGGTGCCGAAAGCCAAGGGCCGTACTCATGACCAAGGGTTCAATTTTCTTTCCCATACAGCCAACCTCTGCTGGATAACGACACCTGGAAAAATAACAACCCCTCACACAACCCACAATTCCTCCAATCGCTCTGACAAAGGGCTAAAGCTCGAAACGTCAGCTTTTAAATTCTTTACGGTGGTCAATTTACGTTTCCAACTCAGTTGAGAATACAAAATTACCCTTTTATTAATTAAATGGCAAGGAATGGGAAAGTTGGCCAGAGATAAATCCGGGCGTTCTGATTGGTTCTTACTTATTCGGGAGTTTTCCATTCGGACTGTTTGCACGGAAACGGTCCGAATGGTCTAAGCCGTGTATTGTTGTTCAGGAAAGCCAGGTAGTTCAACACAAACACATCTGGTCTGAGCGCCAAATAATAAATTATTAACTAACTTCGCTTGCTCGAACTGTACTTGACAATATTGACCGTCGTTCGTTTTTGTCCGACTTCGGGCCAGTTAATACTCCCCAGAATAAATAAGCCCAGGCCTCATTTGCACCTCTCTTACACGTATGCCATTAACTCTCCTCCTTATAATCAGATTAACACTAATGAGTAATTTTCATTACAATTTATTTTGTTTCCTCATTACTTCACCATTGGTACAGCAGAATAAATTACCTGTATGACAAAACTAGAAACAAAATTGGGGAATAGATTAACAGAATACTAGAGCTATTTTAACATAAAAACTATGATTCATGGCAAGGATGAAAAAATAAATTATTGTAACTCACACATTCTAATTTTAGTCTGACTGACCTTCTGGGTAAATACACCAAGCTATTTACTGCTAAGATATATGGCTTATGGAAATAAGCCCTTTACCAGTCAGTATCTGAATTTGTCATTTACTGATAAAATAAATTAATAATTTGTAACATCACATGTTTCTAACGACAAAGAAGTCATATGTCTCACTCAAGCATCCAACAAGCAAAGAGATTTAAAAAAAAAGAAAAATACAGCCACAGAGTGACTGAGGGAGAACTCAAGCCTATGTTAGAACATTCTTGCATATACCCAAGTGCTAAAGACCACTGGATTCTGCAAAATAAATAATTTTTAATGATGAACACAGGGAATTTTTCTACCATTGTGATCCTTTTTTTTACAAGTTTTAACCATTATATCCAACTTTCCACTCCACCATGAATATCCTACATAGAAAATCATTCAAAATATTGGCCTGAGTTAGACACATGTCTGAAAATAACTCAGAGAGCTTTTTAAAACTACTTTTTGACTAATTAGTGATCTGGAGATTTGGAAAAAGCAAGTATAATTCTGTCTTCTTTGGAAGTTATGCAATTGTATTCAATTAAGACCCCTAATTTAATGTGCTAAAAGCCAAGTATATTAATATTTCTATCATTGGGGCAACTGGAAATTTGATAAAATGGGAAACGAAGGAAATATCTAGGTATATCATGCAAATTTGATGAGTGAATGGTGCCTTTACTGGAATACTCCATTAACAAAAATTACAGTCAAACCTATATCAAGTGGTCAGTTTTCAAAGTTCTGAAAATTTCCCCTTAAACAATCCAATTTACACCTCTGTTAAGCGGTCACCCCTACTGACTCCTTACAACCTGTTTCTATTGTCCTCCTTTTGTATTGGACATTAAATTAAAAAGTGGGATTTCACTCAAATAAAACTACTTAAGAATCATCTTTCAAGTAAAGTTTACTGGTAATCCATGCTTATTTCCCAAAATCAATGTTAGTAGTATTTTTTTGAGTGGATTTTTGTTGATCAAGTGGTCAATCATGGTATAAAATGGCTTTTTTTGATAATACCCCTATTCTGTGGAACCAGTATAAGTGGTTAACCTGTATCAAGCAATCACCCTGCTGTTCCCCAAGGGTGACCACTGAATACAGGTTTGACTTTAGACAGTTATCTGTTATCTAATACAATTTCAATTTTGGAGAATTTATCAAAAGAGGCCAAAACAGTGTCATCAGATCTAACCCTCACTTCATACCAAAAAGACATTACATGTACCATTTATGAAAAAACATGACAAGAAAGGAAAAATATGATGCAAGAGAAAACAGGGGAGCATAGGTAGCTCATTTTGCTTGCCCAAAAATTCACTCATGTCTAGAAAGGGGTATACATTACAATAACCATAATGGGGACATTTATTTTATCTTGTTTTGATATAAATTTGTCCAAAAACTTTCCCTTGTGAAGATTAACTTAAATCTCCATACATCAATCAAGCATGAATTGTTTCATCAAAATGATGCCTTTAAGTAACCTTCATCTTGCACATATAACTCCTTTTCTACTGTTTTCAAACTAAGTCTTTTGACGGTCTCATATCCAAGTACCATCACTAGACTTGATGGCACCATAGCTAGAATTCTGGCTGATAAACCTTTGGTTAGCCCCTTTGGTCCTTCCTCGTGCAGAAGGGAACGAAACATCTGGAACACTAATGCTGATTTTCCACCACCAACCTGAAGAGCGCAAGATTTCTTACAGTTATAAAATTATAGAAAAATCAGTAACATTTGGGTAATTGGCACAAGCTAGAAGGAGTACAGGTATATCATATAGGTTGCCCCCACCAATAAAACAAGTGCCAGCACAGTGGACTGTAAGAATTTGCAGTTAGCAAAGGTTTAATAGAAGGTGGCTACTGGCAATAGACTGTGAGGTACTTTGCTTCTCAAAGTTGCTTACTTTGGAGGATCATTTAAACATTTTTTCTTTGTTAGGCAGTGCCTGGAACTTTCCATCATTCTCTATCACTAATTAAATAGCCTTACTAGATCTTCTAATACCTTGATCTACAAATTATGGAGTTTTTCTTTCTGGAAAGGAATGAATTTGCCTACATATTCTAACTAATTACAGTGGTGAAACAGATCATAATATACCACTTTCCAATTGCTCATTTAAATTTTGTAATTTAGCTTTCCCACTTTCCCAAAATTAATTTAGGTTTTGTAAACTGCTGTAAAATTCCTCTTTACAATTCACGTAGTTTTCCACAGGTGCATGCCCTCAGTCACCCTAGAAGCTAGTTATTTCTGTTCTGATGTCTACAGCCATCTACTGTGCTTTCTATCCCAATCTCTTACTTACAAACTTATTGAGAGTACTGAGTTAGTGACCTTAACTGATTACCATGCAGGTTTTTGGTCTACAACTTTAGTCATCAACTCAAGATGCTCATTAGACGATGCAGGTCAACTGGAAATTTTTTTTAGCCAGCCTTGTCTACACTTCTGAAAAATCCTCCAGTTGTTACCAATAACAATATTTTCATAGAACTATTTTTTTTGGCCAAACTTGGGAGACATAGCTATGCCAGTCAGTGTTTAAATATATAATAATACACATGAAAAGATAACACGCTTCTGATTGGCTGAAAACAAGTGCATTATGATAAAAAACAAGTGAAAAGTTGTAACATGAGTGCAAGTTACAATTAGCACCCACACTCTTTCAAAAGTCATCTGTCTCAACTCTCTGTAATGTTTTCCATGTACATTATTAACAAGTGATGACACGATTTCTCTTACAATTTGGTGTTAATAAACACTTATAAAGTTTACAAAGACTTAAAATTGCAATTGTTTTCAAAAAATTTACTCACACTTATTAACAACAAATTGCATTCGAAATCATGTTATTACTTATACATATTAAAATATGGTGTCAGAGGAAACTTATTTAAACCAAAGGGTCATCTGCACCAGATCAGCATCAAGTTAACATTACCATCACCACAAGAACCATGAAGCTTTGTTTATCTATAAGACCAAATTTCCCTTCTGGTGAGAGGTTACCTCTGTAGATTTGCATTCAAATTCTTATCTGTATAACATTTATCCTTCAATTATTCATTAGTCTGCTTAAATTTTAGGGTTCATTTATTTTTTCTTCCAATAGTATCCTTTTTTCCTCACATTAGAAATTTTGTGGTCTGCTGAATTACAATCTCTATCAAAATGAATTCAGTTGCCTTGTTGTTCCATGCTCTAGGTGCTTTTTTCCATCTGGTTTCTCCCTTTCGATAAAAACTGAAGAAGTTAAGAGAGGCTACCTATGATGTAACAGAATTAGATCCCGGAGGAATGGCTATACCCTTGATAACCTTATCTGCAGAGAAACCAGATGAGCTTTAAACAAAGCCTCTGAACTTGTGTGATTTCACCTTAGATGGGTGCAGAACAATCACATAAAGAAAAAAATAACAACAACAAACCTGCAACCTGGTTCTCATTATATCCAATGGATTTGTAAGCGTTGCTGTGGTAAACCCTGCCATAGTACCAGCCATTGCCAAAACAAGCATATGAGGTGTTCCTGTTATAACAACATTACCCACCAGTCCTGTGTAAATACCGTAGGAGGACCACCAAATTGCGCTACTGGGTGCATAAGTCATTAGAGAGATCAGGTACCCTCTGTAAAGCCCTAACGGTCCATCCGATTTTATTATCTCCTTTATGATGGTCGATGCTCCCTTGAGTTTGGCCGTGTTTTCACCCTGACCCTGTACCATGAGCTTCTGAGAAATAACATCTACTGGGACTGTTATCGTTTGTCCAACTAACGAGGCACAACCGCCGGCCAGGAACCCTCGAACGGCATTGCTGTATTCTTTCGTCCTAGCACGAATCAATTCTAAAGTGGTGATGTAAAATTGTCCTGATAAAAGACCGAAGCTGTTCACCAGAAATCCTTTATAAAGTCCTCTTACACCTTCAAAACGTATCACTTTGACAAAAGCATCGAAGGATCCCGTGTATAGAGCTTTCTTGCGCTGAACTTGAAGTCGGGTTTTCACCAGGTTCGCCGGATACAGCAGAGCTCGAATGCCCAGAAACAATGTCGGACCAATTAAATAGAATTTTCTCTTGTCCATGTCCTCCCATTCGATGTGCTTTACGTGTTCAGGCATTCTTTAAGTATCGAACAAGCAGTTTACAGTTATTTCAGAGTCATCAATCGTATGTAATAAAGTTCAAGGTTACGAGTTTCTCAATCTGCCAAAATTTTTCCCAAATCCACAGTCGCCATTTTAATAGTGTTTCACTGGTCAGCGGACATTACACTTCACTTGAAAAGCGTTAGTAATCACGTGTTAAGAACCCAGTCCTTATTTAGGACCCGGACAGGTATGCTATGATAATATCCTCCCCTCCCCCCTGCCATTCCCCTCACAAAGGATATTTTCGTACTTGTCTAAAGAATTCTGAAGAAGAGATAAGATTATAATACAAACAAAATACAGCCTTAGTTTGAGCACGTAGCTCGAAATCTGTTGTCAAGCAAAACAGATCAAACCTTTTGTTTCAGTTCATTTCGCGATCAAGTGGCTCTTATAAAGAACGTGAATTTGCTGGCAGCGTTTTCCTTGCATAATTTTTCGTTTGCCTTGCGTACCAAATCGCCCTTTGGATCCTTGTTTCATCAATCATAACGATAAGACAGCTGTTCTCTTTGAAATCTTTGTTTTATAATTAAAAATATATAATATCTGCCTAGTTTAATGGCCCTGATGGGGCATTTGCAAACATGAGGCTCTTACAACATTGGAGTTTACTCCTTTGAAGAAACTAGATCCCAGAAACTAGATCGAAGTTAGACAAGTCAAGTAACACAAAACGCTTTTATAAATCTTAAAACTGTGTAGTTTACAATGTAAATTTGAATACCTCAGTGAGAACTCGATCTGTTGAAGGAGTATATGAAACCAGCTCAAGCTTAGGAAACTCATTTCTTTGCTCGTATTCAAACAAAAAACTTTTTACCTTTATTGTACTCACTATAAGCCAGAGTTAGGCACAAACAAAAGCTTTAAATTTAACCAGCCAGTCTGAACTACATTTCCTTTGACTTGATTTCCATCATGTGTTGCCCATCAGTTTAAGGGGGCATTACGGTTGGATTTTGAAGAAAAATTGAAAATTCCACATTTTTTTTTATTTCCTCTTAAACGATTCTGGAATCCATCTAGTCTCAGACAATATATGTTTTTTACGCTTATTTATTCATGCGCCGCTAAAAAACAGCCGCTTTTGAAGGCTAGTACATTGTGGGTTTTTGGTTGTCGTGGCAACCACAGGTAATCCAATCTAATCGTTTTGTCACGTTTCATTCCTTCAATATTGTAAAAAACACAATTGGAAGGAAGGAAGACAGCGAGACAGTGGAAGAATTCAGTAAGCATAGCACAGAGCTTAAGAAAAACACAAACAATGTAGACTTGCATGAAGACAAGCTAAGCAGAGAGAAGAAGAGCTGTGTGTAACCCAGGAAGGCATAGCCTACGAAGCTGGAGGTTTCGACGAAACACAGCTCTTCAGAGTGGGTTAAAAGAGAAAGAACCAAAGAACCTAAGCATACCTTCAAGTAGGTGTGCTGTGATGCACAAAATGCCATTTTATGGAGTCTTCAGTCTTACAAGTGACATTTAGAAAAAACTGAAGTTTTAATTGCAATTTTCCGAAAATAGCTTTTTTCAGGGTAATTTTTGTTGGCCCCTCAAATTTCTCGAAGAGTATTTCAGCTATTGACACCAAATTTGGTACAAAGATTGTTAAGTAATTATCTGCAACCTAGTTGAGCAAAATTTATTTTTCTAACATACAACTGGTTTGAAAAATAACTTGTCTTTTGCAAAATCTAATTGGTTACCATGACAACCAAAACGGTCAAAAGGCGATAACTCTCGATGAGGTTGCAGTCCATTGGATAATGCTCTATTGTACCAAAAATTAGGTGATTATTTTAAAAGGAAATGACAAAAAAGTGACGGGCTCCGATTTGACCCTCAAAATAGCCCTTTACAGTAACTTGTTAATTATTAACGTAAAACATATCAAACTCTTTGCCCAGTGCGACGAACATTTGTTTTTCTCGGTTCCAGGTGTACACAACCACTAACCCCACGTAATGCGCTTGCGGACAGGCCAAAGAGGGAAATTAAAAAAACAAAGCGATTTTGCAATAAATACTCAACATACACCCTCGTTAGAAAGGCGAATTCACAGAAGAAAGATACAAAACTGTATAATATTGGGATTTATATGATATTAAATTGATACCGAGGACCCGTTTCCAACTTGCTAAGAAGTGCATTTAGTTGCCTTCCTCCACGATTACTAGCTTTCTTGACAGCTTTCTGAAGACAGAATACTTTCTTTCTGAAGACTTCTGATATGCGGCTATTGATTATTACACCTCGTATATCTGATTGCTCAAACACTTTGTTTACGATTGTTGAAAGGAACGACTCATGGTTCTCCGTCTTTGTCTTTACATTGCTTTGAAATAGTATAGATTAGTAAGCTGAAACGAAAAATTAATCAGGGAAGTTTACGAAAAATCCAGCAAACAAGCTTAAAAAGGGCATTTATTTAGACTTCATATTTCAACGAACTTCACAAATCTTACCTGTTTATCTTGTAAATAAACGATGGCAGATTAATTCCCGAAGCGCTTTCTGAGTTTCCCGATCCCTCTCCTACTGCTTTTCACGCTTAAAAAACAGGAAAAATCAAAAGGAGGAAGATAAAGCTGTTTTGAAATGCCATTTGACGAGCGTAAATCTGCTTTTTGTTCGACACTTTACATATCAAAACAAAGGAAATTTGTTCCTCTTTTTTATTTTAATTTGCGCCTGCGTAAAAGAGATATCGCCCGAGACCCTTTGCTCGATCGTGTTTTGATCAAAAACGCCTTGTAAATTTCACGCAACCGCTCGGAGAAAAGGTAAAAATGACGAGGGAAAAACTTTACCTTCAAGTTAGAAAATTAGCAAAATAGAAAGCCACAATATTATAGTTTAATATTTCAGAGGTACATTGAATGCTTTTTCCGTAGAGAATCCGCACGATGGTAAAACATTCGAAAATTACACTCGATTTGAGTGGGGTGTTGAACTGGGCGTAGTCATTACATTCATGTTAAGACTATTTGTACCCCATGAGTTTGATATGAAACAATATGTTAACTTTAAACATGTCATGTGATAAGCAATTGCCTGGGTGTACTTCTTACCAAGTTTGAGCTGATTTGATTGCATTGTTGACTAAATATGATTTTTTAAGTAAGCTACCAAAATCTTACTATGAACCAAACGTAATGCCCCCTTAAGGCCCATATTTTTGATTGATTTCTTGTCTTCTTCTTGTCAGTACTTCTTTGAAGTACTGCGCAGACATGCAAATTTCATTTAGTTTGCTTATTTGATTTTGGCTTATGAATTATGAATTTATAGAACTAACGCATGGAGAACACCTTGTTCTCCATGCAAATTTTTTGTCAAGCCACGTACGAGCAGAAATTTCATGAAAACCCAGCGACGATCTTTGCGTCATATTTTCTGGACTTGAACTCTCCGCCCTCCAAGGGAGACAAGTATCACATTCTCCGGCTTTCATTTAGCGATGATGAAGAATCATCTCCTTCATTTCCTGATATTTTTAATGCCAGTAGCTGTTGGTAAGTAAAACTACCATATAATTTGTTTTCTTCTCGCGGACAAATGCACGCAAGCATGTGTTGAGAGGAAATTTGGGCTCATCTCAATTGGCTTTTAAGGTAGAATTATTGATTCTACTGAGAGTCGAAATTTTTGACTGAACAATTTACATATTTCTGTCGTTGTCGTGGGAGAACTCTGTCCTCGTGATCGAACTTAGTCCATATCTTCATTTCACGAAGTCTAGAATTTAGAGTTTGAATCACTTTCTTATTTTTAGGTTATTTTTGCGCAAACTTAGCTTAGGATTGGATGTCATTAACCCCATTCACACCAAAGCTTAAACATGTTTCAAAGCTGTTTTATTAAACACGGTGTTAGAAGCTACTTAAACTGATGTTTGTCGACTTCAAATGTAACGCGTTGAAAATTATTTGAATCCTATGGAAAGTTTAGTTTTTATCAGTTCCCTGTGGCCGATTTTCATTTAGTGAAACCCGGTTTGCCTAAACATGTTTTTCTGGTGTGAATGAGTATAATTTAGTTTACTTTTGTTCGAACGTAACTCAGGATTAGATGTCATAGTCACAGAATACATGTTTACATTTTTAATTTAAAAATACAAGATATACTCGAGCCAGTGTCTTGTAACAAACAAAGGTTGTGCTTAAATTTAAGCTCCCGCTCTTCTCTCAAAATTGAATAAGTACCCCACACTCTACTCGTAATAGGAGCCATCATTAAGACCAGAATAGATAATGTGTAAGGTGTACTATGGTATGCAGACTTGTCAAACTGAAAGCGCGTAAGAAATTTCTATAAGAACAACGAAACAAATGTGCTTGTTAGTTCCTGCATAGTAGTCAGAAGGGTGCCATCATTTCCCACAGTGATAATCGAATCACTTTTGCTTTCGTTCTATTTTGTTTGACTCTCTGAAGCCTACAGACGCCAGGCAAGATGCTATAAATGCGATGGGAACAATGAACAATGCAGTCTGGCTATGATGCACTCGGATATTGCAAAGTACACAGTGAGATGCCCGCGAGATTATGATAACTGCCTCACAGTGTTCCTGGAGCAAGATGGAAGAAAGATCTTTAATAAACGGTGTGCAAGTGATAGGATCTGCAACAGAGAAACATCTCGCTGCGGGGGAAGCGAGCGCGCGACCAAGGGAGGTCTTCAGACCGAGAAGATTTGTCATGCATGGTGCTGTAAAGGAGACTGGTGCAATCCTGGGCCACGTGTCTCTCCAGCACATCTTGTGATGATGTCAGGGCTTCTGTTCGTGAACTTGATGTGTAGGATTTAAATGTAAATAGATTAACACTGAGTTTTACTCGGCGTGTTTTGGTTTTTACTTTGTGTACTTAAGTAATGGGCTGTGTTTGCGTCTGGTGCCAAATTATATTTAGGGAATATTTTATAGAAATTTCTCGTCTGAACAAGCTGATAAAGTGACCTGAGTTGATCATTTAAGAATAGAGTGTATATTGTAGTATTGTTTCCCAGAATGTGTACAAATTTGCACCAAACTAGTCAGATGGGCTTTTTATTGAGGAGATTGTTCATTTCAATTTTACAAAATATGAGCGAAATACATACTAGTGATCAAATTACGATTTGATATCAATCTTTAGCTAGGTTTGGTTTGAAAATAACACAGAGTAAAGTTTGACTATTATTACTAGTGTTAAGAAAAATAAACATTAATGTTTTGTTTCTTCCAAAAGTGTATCCTTTGAATTCAACCAATCAAATAGCAGCACACTGCCTGCTTAATCCTTTCACTTCCAATATTTGATCAGTTATTCTCCTTACCGCCTATGGTACAATTTCTGTGGTGTTAGTTCGGAGAATTTGGTATTGGATCAACTAATAATCCCGTGGTTGTGATATTTTACTTTATTCTTATCACTTGCCTAGTTGATATTGTATTGACATTGTAAGGAGAAATTCTGTCTTATGGGAGTTAAAGAACTGAAACTTGTTGACGGACATCTTTCTAGAGACTGATCGATGTTTTCAGTTGTGAACAAGATCAAGGTAAAGCTGCGTTTCAAAATATACGTCTGTTGACGCTTGTATTTACGCCGATCGCATTTGACGACCGCATGAAGAACAGGTTAAGACAGGAAGGGAAAAATCTCGCTTTTGATATATAGATAGTCATAGATTAATACTTAGGGGCCAGTCACCAATTATTATTATCACCAGAGGATGGGAGGGGAGGGGGGGGG